ACTAAGGTAACATGATTGCCACATAATAGGAACCAGTGCTCATGTGCATTAGTTTACAGTGGGAAATAACATTATTTATAGTGAGGTTCCCCTCTAATTTATTTGGACCTATAGTAACAATCAATCAATTAAGAAAATTCATTTGGATTCCTTAGCTTCTTCAGTGTCACATGCCTTCAATGTTCTGGTGACTGATTCCTCAGAGACAAAGATCAGATATTGATAACTGCATGCCAAAAAAAGCAGCAACAATCCCTTATAAAGCTGGTCTAGTTTTCTTTTTCTAGATTTGTAAACCAACTTATGTCTTCTAGATTTTGGCTGGTAACCATGCCTACCTTGCACCTACTGTAATGGGTCTTAGTGATTGGAAGAGGAGAAACGTCATTAAACCCAGTGAACCTCCAACAAATTGATCAAGATACTTTTTTTTTTTTTTTTAAAAAAGGGGGACAGTGTCACTGCTGAAAAAGAATGCTATGGAAGCTGAAACAAAAGGTGTGTTTTTGACTATAAGGAGCTTGGCTAAAGTAGTTATCTGAGAGGCTTGAAGCAGGACTTTGTAAGGGAAAGTTACATTTATGCGAGACACTAATTTCTGATAGGCAAATGGCAAGTGTAATTTTAATATTTTCTTTTGGAGTAAAAATGTTTAGGACATTTAAATAATAACGAGGGGAAATCTGAATGCCCAGGAACTGATGATGTTCTGCTTTCTGACCCCTCCTGTCTCATTCTCATGGGGCAAAAGCACATGAAAGTAGCTGGTTCTGGCCAGCTGAAAATTCTGCCAGAGCAGGGGAGTTTTCAGCTGTGGGGACCTAGGGACTTGGTACCAGCTGATTCTGTAAACTCCACATGCCCCATGCCAAGGGCAGATCAGACAAAACACCAGATAGCAGCAAACTGCCTCCATGTTGCCTCTACTTCTCTACTGAGTAGATATTGTCCATAGTTCCATGTTGTACTTTTCCATGTTCTGTTTCCCTCCCATACACTGGGAGATGAAGGAAGAACAGAAAAACAACAAGAGCTCTCAAGGAACTTGAAGAAAGTGCAATTTATACAAATACTGTCCAATTAGTCACACTTTAGAACTCTAAAATCACACGATGGGCATGTGGTTTGTCCCTTAAATCCTTAAAAAGATGGAACAAAAAACAGGACTAGGCAGCACTTTGAAGACTAACAAGATGGTTTATTAAGTGATGAGCTTTCGTGGGCCAGACCCACGAAAGCTCATCACCTAGTAAACCATCTTGTTGTCTTTAAAGTGCTACCTAGTCCTGTTTTTTGTTTCAGCTAGACCAGACTAACACGGCTACATTTCTATTATTAAAAAGATGGACATTGTCAGGCATTCCTTTTCTAGCATTTATTCTCATGGGGAATACAAGAAAGGACAGTATACTTACCTTATAGTAAGTAACTATAGATCTTCTAGATTTTTTTTTTCCCTATGATTGCTCTACTGTAGCTACACCATATGATGTGCATGCACCTGTGCACTCTTGGTTGAAGACTGCAAAGTCTCACCTGGGCAGAACCATACACTCTATGCTCCAAATGAGGGACACAGGTAGGCACAAGTCCAATGCCACTCAATCCCCTTTTCAGCAGAGGGGAAGGAGGGTGGGAAATGGAGCACCCAGAGGGATAAAAACATCATGAAAAACTTAAGTTGTTGTTAGATAAGTAACCCCCCTCCTCCGAGAACGTGTCCCTGTGGATGCCCTACTGTAAGGGTATGTCTACACTAGCCCCAGTTCGAACTAGGAGGCTAATGAGGGCGACCGAAATTGGTAATGAAGCATGGGATTTAAATAAACCCCTTAATTTGAATTAACTGTTACTCCTCGTGGAATGAGGTTTAACAGTTAATTCAAACTAAGGGGTTTATCTCGGAATCCTGCTTCTCTGCTGCGTGTAGACGTGGGGAGTTACTTCGAGCTAGTCAGTTTCCAAAATGGCGACCGGCCGGGAATATGCTAATCTAGTGCGGGATATTTAAATCCCGCGCTTCATTAGCAATTTCGGTCACCCTCATTAGCCTCCCTAGTTCAGGCATCATGACCAGTGGGGGCGGGAGTTATGTTTCAGTCCACAAGCGCCTTGGCAGTACCACCGAGGGAGCTCTGACAGATCTCCGCAGCTATGGCGATTCAAGCTAATCAGAAATGTAACTTTTCAGAGGGCAGAAACCTGGAAGGAGCCAGATGGCTTTGATAGCTTACATCTCAGGCTTGAGTTGGTATCAGAGATGAAATTGTGAACCAGTGAGATAGCGACTGCTGCAGGACTGAAATTTATGCAAGCTTCTGTCTGACTTCAGATCTTGAGTAAGAAGCCAGTTCTGAGGGATGCATAGAGTGCTACCTAGTCCTGTTTTTTGTTTCAGCTAGACCAGAAGAGGCTTTTTCGAAAGATACTTTCGAAAAAGCCTCTTTCGAAAAAGAGCGTCTAGACTGCAAGCAGTACTTTCGAAAGTACCAGGATCTTAGGAATAACAAACTGTGCTCTAGCACAAAGGTCCAGAAATAGAGGGGATCCCTCTTTCGAAAAAGCCATGTTTGCATTCAAGAACGCCTTTTTTCGAAAGAGCACTTTCGAAAAAAGGTGTTCTTCCTCGTGAAATGAGGTTTTCCGTCGTCAAAAAAAAAGCTGTGTTCTTTCAATTTAATTTCGAAAGAACACGGCTGTAGTCTAGACGCAGGTGAAGTTTTTTCGAAAAAAGGCTACTTTTTTCGATAAAACCCTTGAGTCTGGACACAGCCTAGGTGTGTCACAGTGCCATGGAAAAATCAGGCAGTGCTGCTGTGGTAGGTCATCTGGTAAAATGCTTACCTAGACAAGGCTTCTGACATGGTACCAACACCTTGCTCCCAGACTAAGTTAGAGCTCCTCCCTTACGCTTTAACAGAGGTGAGGTCTCCTGAGAATGAGTCTTTATGGGGTGACATACCCCCTTTTCTTCATTTCTTTGGTGGAAGAGGTGTGTTTATTCCTTTTTGAGGTATATCCATGGTCATAGATGAAGCTAGATGGGTGACTAAAGCGTCCTGTGATGTTGTGGCCAATGAAGTGGATCACACTGGATCTAGGGAATATTCCATTAAGAGGCATAGTTTAGCCTCCTTATTTTTTTGGGCCTACTCTTAAATTCCAGACAGACCTTGAACTTTGAGGCTATGTCTACGCTGCCCCCTCTTGCGCAAAAGAAATATGCAAATGAGGTGAAGCGTGGAATATCGCCTTGCCTCATTTGCAAAATTAACGAGGCTCTGTTTTTACGCAAGAGGCTTTTGTGCAAAACTCCCCTCTTGTGCAAGAGCCATTCTTCCTGAAAAAAGAGGAAGAATGGCTCTTGCGCAAGAAGGGTTTTTTGTGCAAAACCAGAGCCTCATTAATTATGCAAATGAGGCAAGGTGATATTCCACGCTTTGCCTCATTTACATTTTTTGCGCAAGGGGGGGGCAATGTAGACATAGCCTGAGGGTTTTTGGGAGACTCCCCCAAACATCACATGGAACTTGAATGTCCATCACTGGGGGGAAAAGACCTGTGGCAAGGCTGGCAGAGCCTGAATACCGGGATCTTAGGAATAACAAACTGTGCTGTAGCACAAAGGTCCAGAAATAGAGGGGCTCCCTCTCCCCCACAAGAGCACAAAAATAAAGTTAAGTAAATAGCTAAGGAACAAAAATAATGAATAATTTCAAAAGGTGGGAAAAAGTGGGAAGCTGAAATAGCTAACAGCAAAGATGCATGTCTTGAGCCACAGGTGGCTATGAAAGAACTGACTGGTGGCAACATAGTGCCTGCCTATATCCCCTTGTGTGGAGCATGGAGTGGTATTCTGCTCAGGAGCACTACTTTGCAGTCTTGGATCAAGAGTGCATGGTTGATGCACATCTTATGGTGAAACACTTGTAGGGACATATGCTCAAAGAAGAGCTAAGCTCAACATTTTAAAGTATATCCTATAATTACTATGCTGACCTAGAATGCACGGTAAATAATGCACTGTTAACTGTAAATTTACTTTTCTGGAACAAGACTTTTGCAGGGCATGAGAAACTTTAGGTATTGGGTATTCCATCTATTATGATTTTTTTTCTTTTAACTACATCATTTGGGTAATATTGGACAAAATTAGCCAACAGAAAGTTGAAATATGTAAAGGTCTATACTCTGGATGGTTTGAAAGACTGCAGCTATTTTTTTTTATTTTTTTCTACTTTGCTAGATCAAATTCAGCCCATATCTATGTCAGCTGAATGTTGTTACCAGTGGATGTCTGTAGTGGCATACGTGAAGTGAGGTTAGTAGTCGGTCTTCATCGAGCTCTCAAGAAACAGATGATAAATGTCTGAAAAACTATGTTTACAACTGACACTAAGTGACCGACTTGCTTGTAAGTCTCAGCACAAATACCAAGGACTGAATTACTTTTAATCCTTAGTTAGAGCCATAAGATCAGGATTGAGACATGTTGACAAGGGAGTTTGAGAAAAGCTGCCACAATTACTGTGGTGACCTAAAAAACTTCAGCCTTCGTTTCTTAACTGATTGCAGCTGTCAGCAACTGAATGCCTTTTTATGAGACCTTTGTGTTGTACACCATTTAGATCAAAGTGGTAAGGATTTTAAATGATCCTTGTTAGACTGAAAAATGGTTCATGTTACCTACTGTAATGCATAACTCAGTATAATACATTTGACTTGAACACTCTTTTTATTGAATCTGTAGTCCATTGCTCCCTCTGCTGGAGCTCAAACTATCTCACAGGGAAAAAGTCTGCCCAGGAAAATAGTACTGTTGCGTTGTATCATGACAATTAAGAAAACAATACATATGTGATCACTTCATTATTCTTTTGGGAGGAAGTGTCTTTGTGGCAATACAGAAATGGAAAGTTCACAAGCACTAAAAACTTATCTAGACCATTAATTCCAACTGAGTTACTCCAGGGATGAATACAGCCCTGCAGAGTAGCCTATCAAAGAGCCTATCAAAGAGCATAATATTAGGGATCAATGGGGAACATTTAAAGGAAATGATGAGAAGTAGTGTAAATAAATAATTAGTGTAATCACCTGCCATTCTGAATGTTAAGTCACTATTCAAAAGCTCTAAATATTACAGTGTGGAAAGCAAAAACATATTTGTAATAGCCTCAAATATATTTTAATTAAACAATAAACCACTATTTTTGTTTGATTTGCTTTTAAATCCGTTCACTTTTAGGGCATCTAATTTATATAAAGAAGCTATTAACATTATTAGGTAAAATTAAAAAGCAAAAGACTTATTTAGAGGGGTCTTCTGGTACGTCTTCCCTGCTGGACTATAGCCAGAACTGTCTTGCTGCAACAGATTTATTTTCCATCCCAAAATGTATTAGTCTAACATGGCTGTGCACTAGCAACAAATAAACTAGTACATGACCACTCCTGTAGCCAGTGTACATCAGACTGTTTACTGTACCTAGCACTGACATCTTTTGATGAAACCGAGGGGCTCAGTGTTACTGTGTTACGATGAAATATTCCTCATTATGCTCCCTTTTTAAATGGGATGGCTGTCTCGGCAGATCACTTTTTTTTAGAAACCAACTAAACTTCACAGTGTCCATTTTAATTCTATACAAGGCTAAAAACCAATTTAATCTTTCAAAACTCAATAATATTAATATAGATTCTCACACTGCTTTGAACAAGAAACTATTGTTTAGAAGGGGCACTTGGCTGCTGCTGCCATTGCCAGCTTTTGAAGATGTAAAACCAAGATCCTGATGGCTTGTGGACAGGAAAAATCCCCTGGCACTTTCTGAATGACAAGGGATTCCAAGTCCATTATCCTGGGTTAATTACAACTCAGGTAATTATAGTCTATTTACTATGAATGGTGGTGGTGTTCTGCACTCCCTGTTCTAAGTTGTGGAGTACTATGGTTGTATACAGTTAAATAGTTGCTCTTTTTACCCCTAAAGTGGCCTCATATAGGCTATGTCTACATTACAAGTTAGGGGTGTGATTCCCAGCTAGCATGGGCAGCAGTAGCACAAGCTTGCTGGAATACATACTCATGGGTTTCAGCCACGTTTGTACTTGAGATGGTTGCTATCTTCAGGGCACTAGCTCAGATGAGAAGTTGCGCATGTATGTCTATGTGAGCTGGGAATCACACCCCTCGCTCATAATATAGATGTAACTTTAGAGGAGTGAGAAAAATATATCAAGTTATTGGTTACATCCAAGAGGGGACTGTGAGATTTAATTCTGTAAAGTGCTTTGAAAACCTCAAGTAAAACTTGTTAAAGAAGTGCAACACATTACCAATATCCTCAATCCAAGGCATGAGCATACATTTCAAACAGAAGGAACAAAAATCATGTAATCATAGCCCTGTTGAAGAGTTAGTGAGACCTACAATAAGATAACTTACTCCCTGTTTCAGTTCTTCTTCCTAAGGAAAAATTGGATCATCAGAGTTAGAATAGGAGGGGTTTAAGTGAAAAACTGAAAAACAGCAGTCCTGGATTCACTAATACATACCTGGTGCACTTGCACAGAGCCAATGACCATTGGAGGAAATCCTCCCCACCAAACACCCACCACCAGGAAGGGGGTGGGGTGGGGGGCAAGGTGGCATGTCCTTGGAGGAGGGCCCCTCTGTACACTGTGGTGAGAGCCAATGGGCCACAGTGAGGAGCTGGGTCAGTCTTACTGAATAGGAACCACTCTAGGGTAAGTGAAGGGTGGGCTCATTCTCCAATAGCCCCTGGGGACCTCACTCACCAGGGGCAGGACCTGGCTTCCCTCCCAGGAGCTTCTCTTCCTTTAGGGAGTCAGGGAAGATGGGGAAACCATCAAATACCATAAGACACAGTCCCCAAATTTGTGATTCCCAAGATTTTCTGCAGTGAAGCACATTGGAATCATACTCTAAATAAAATGGCTGGTCAAACTCCCCATTCTAATTATAGTACAACTCCTTTGCATCTGAAGAACGCATCAAGGCTGGCCACCACCATAACTCAAGACAAAGCAAGACCCTGGGGCCAAAACTCTCCTCTAGACAACCATATTACCGATAATTCAGTGACAGGGCATATTCAAGCAAATTCCAATTATTTTCTGGTAATATTTAGTCCTACTGCTCTCAAGTGCTGCCTAATTCATTTAGTGGTAGGATGACAATAAAGACATGGTGTTAATACAGGAACAGTATCAACTGGGTACATTACTGATCCTGAAAACCAATGTATTAGAGTGGCCAGAGCTAAGAAAGATAAAAAAGATGGGAAACAAGGATTATGTGGGAGGAAATATTCATGTTCAGTGGTATTTTATTAATATGACACATCTCTCTTTTGTTTGCTAGTCCCCTGTTCATTTCCTTTGACTTTCAAGTGGAAACCTTACCTTCAGCAGTTTCATGAGACCTTCTAACTGTACCATCAGCTCTCTCCGGCTTTCCTGAAGAGCAGACATCCTCTGTTCAAGTTCATCCTTTCGCTGTCTGAAAAAGAAGCAGTTAGGATCAGAGCTGATACCACACAATCAACTCTACAATTTCTAAACTTTATAATAGTTCAGTTAAGAGTGGGGAGCATATGAGGCTATAGGAAAGCGAACACATTCTGTGAATTCAAAATAATGTCCAAATTAGGGGAGACCGAGAAACTGGAAAATTCCTCAAGTTAAGAAAAGAAAAGGTTCAGTATGCTGACTGGGGTAAAATAAATACTGACATAGATCTCATCCCAAGACACCGAACAAGGATGATTTTTTCAGATTCATACAAGTTAGCTTACATTTGGAAGAATGTTACAATATATCTTAACGACATGAGAGTGTGGCTGAGTTATTGACACAGGGCAAGTACAGATGGAAAGGCCCAAAAGAATTCAGAAATTCACCCAGACAGCAGAGAAATGTGCCTTTTGAAGGCTAGAGTCCAAGTTATTACATGTATTCAAATGTAATTATTTGAAAATAGCTTTTGGTGCTACAAACCAAATTCTGTTCTCATTTATAACCATTTAAATTCTAGCTCTGCGCATGTTACTGTTAAATTCTAGCTCTGCGCATAGACTTAAGTCTATGTAACTTGGAGCATATTTTGATTCTGTACAAGTACAACCTGTAGCAATTTAAATAGAATAATGTGATGCAATTCTGCCTTCAATTATACAAGTCTAGCTCCCACTAAGGGCATGTCTAACTTCGCTGCACCAGAAATAGATGTTCTGGTGTTCGAATTAGCAGGTTTAGTATAGACCTGAAAACCAAATGCTGAGGGAAGGTCCAGCTGGCTCCTGTCAACCTCCCGCTGTGTGGACACAGCCAAGATCAGCTTAAGGTAAGCTAACTCTAGCTACATATTCTGTGTTGCTGGAGTTGCATACCATAAGCCAGGGCTATTCAACACGCGGCCCATGGCCTGTTTGTTTGCAGCCCGCAGTGCGGTTTGAGTTTAAGTGGGACAACAGTCAGCACGCAGATGGGAGCCAAAACAAATAAGTAGTCAATATAATGGTCTTCTGTTGATATGCATTTTATCAGTTAAATTCCTAGATTGTCATTGCTCATTAAAAGTGCTGTCATATGGGTGGAAATCGGGTAAACATTGCATTTTATTGATATCAGCAGAACTGACTTAAATGGGCCCTGTGTGTTATGTAGTCTTGCCTTAATCTTTGTGTTCATGCCCATTAGTGTGAAATAAGCTATCTGCATATATTTGCATGTTTATGCATCCACACTTAAGTTGCAGCCCTCCGCATGTGCTGTGAATATCACTGTGGCCCTCAGGGCTTCCAAAGTTGAGTAGCCCTGCCTTAAGGTAACCTTCCAGGTTTAGTGTAGACCTGTTCTTATGGCTGTGGGAGTTACACCAATACAACAGAGGGCTGAATCAGGCTATATGGGATACACAATTAGAGTCTGAGGATGTCTGTATCATATTTTACTTGTAGCTGCTACCCTCTGCAAGTTACAATGTAACTGACAATATTTTACATGGTGTTATTTTATATACTCGCTCTACTATATTTTAAAATCAGATATATATATTATATAATAAAAGATGATGTTTAAATGCATCCTGCAATGCCTGTAAATTGGTGGTTTTGCCCTAACCTCTCCAAAATGGAAGAAGGTAGATGTCAGCAATGTTAAAAATATTTCCTATATATTAAAAGCCAGACTATGCGCCCTTTAACAACAACGGAGTTACTCACACAAACAGCATCACTGACTTCCATGGAACTACTCACATGAGTTATTGCTTACCAATATGAGTAGATATGGCCCTAGTATACCAAGGTTTGGGGTAAGGTTTTGTTTATTCTTCCAGAAGATTAATATATTTTCTACTTGATATTTCCTGTACTTGGATTTTCCCCTTTCTGAGTATCTAATGGTTAGAAAAGCTGACAATTATGGAAAGGAAAATAGGTTTAAGAAATTGCAAACAAAAATAAGAGAAGTCTCAGAGGGATAACCGTGTTAGTCTGGATCTGCAAAAACAACGAGGAGTCCTGTGGCACCTGAAAAACTAACAGATTCATTAAGGAATACGTTTTCATAGGTAAAACCCACATCATCAGATGAACTGGAGTGGAAGTTACAGAAGATGTGATATATATAAGGAAGAAGTTGCTTGTGTTAATGAAGCTAATCAACTCAGGGTGGATGTGGTCATTCACAGCATTTGAAGTGGAGATGTAAATATCAGAAAGGGTCATTGCCTTTGTAATGTGTGTGGTGTTTTAGATGCTGCTTGTAATTATTAGAACTGGGAGCACTGGCTGTTGGGAGTCTGGAAGCACAGGAAACAGGAAGGAGTGGGGAGAAGATTGGGAGGGGCTGAGTGAGAGCTACTGAGGGATGCAGCAGCTTTGTAAAGAGACTCCACTTTTGGTAAAGAAAGTCTTGTTGAAGTTTGTTAGTACCTTGCTTGAATGATACAACATTTTGGCGGCGAGGATGGGATTTGCCTGAAGGTGTGGCAGAAACATTTACAGCGTACCTTATCTGTTCTGGAATATGTGCAGCAGTGATTTTGTCCACAATCAGCACAGTAACACCTGGTATTGTAACTGCATGCACCTGTTGATTAGACTGTCTACTGTGGCATACCTTAGCAAAATGCCCACTCTTTTTGCAGTGATTGCACCGAGCTACTTTTGCAGGACATCTTGTGTAGCTTGTGAGCTGTTGTGCAGATCCACAGCGAAAGCATGCTTTTGCTGTGCTTTGAATTTGCTGATTCTGTGGTTTTTCATTAGCTTTCTCCTTGTAATTGTGTGTCTGCAATGATAGTGGACTTTTCTGCAAAGGAGTCACAGCCTGGACTGGGCCTCCTGTATTCATGCTAATTATTTTGGCTTCTGCTACAGCTGACTCAATTTGGGTAGCAATGGTTCTTGCTTTTTTCAGTGTAAGCTGTGGTTCTAGAAGCAAGCTTTCTCTTACACAAAGCATGGTTGTTTTCTCGATGAGCTGGTGTCTAATCATCTCATCTGCCATATTTCCAAAGTCACAAGTTACAATCAGACTCCTCAGAGAAGCAATATGCTGCATTATAGTCTCCACTGGTTTCTGCTCACACTGGCAAAATCTGTAGCGATTAGCTTTTACATTCACTTTTGGCACAAAAAGTTCTTTAATGCAGTGAGTGCAGTCTCATTTATCATCTGCAAGGGGAAAAGTGTAAAATACACGCTGCCCTTCTGCTCCAAGGCAGTGGATTAGCAGAGCACGCTTTCTTACTTCAGAACTCTCTGTAGCACTGACTGCAAGCAGATAAGTCTCAATCATATGAATCCAGGCAGTAAAAGCAATTGGAGGCTCACCTGGGCTTTGCAGAAAGGGTGCAGGTGGGTTCAGAGGCAGAAAATCCATCCTTGTCGCCAAAATGTTGTATCATGCAATCAAGGTACTAACAAACTTCAACAGGACTTTATTTACCAAAAGTGGAGCCTTTTTACAAAGTTGCTGCATCCTTCTGTAACTATCACTCAGCCCCTGCCAATCTTCTCCCCGCTCCATCCTGTTTCCTGTTTCCTGTGCTTCCAGACTCACACCAGCCAGTGCTCCCAGTTCTAATAATTACAAGCAGCATCTAAAACACCACATTGTGTTAACCAGTTAAGATCCTTATTCAGTCCTAAAATGATTGTGCTGAATTTACAAATGAATTCCAATTCGGCTGCCTCCCTTTGTAATTGGGTTTTGAAATTCTTTTGTAGGAGGATGGTGACTTTCAAATCTATTACTGAACGTCCAGGGAGGTTAAAGCGTTCCCCTTCAGGTCTGTGTGCACTACCCTTCCTGATGTCTGATTTGTATACTTTGGCATAGAGAGTGTCTGGTTTGGCTAATATATAGGGCAGAGAGGCATTGCTGGCACTTGATGGTATACATAACATTAGTGGATGTGGATTAGTGGATAGCATATAGCACATTAGTGGATGAGCTCCTGATGGTGTGGCTTATATGGTTAGGTCCTGTGATGGTGTTGCATGTATAGATACGTGGACGGACTTGGCAATGGGCTTGTTGCAGGGATAGGTTACTGGGTTAGTGTTTCTGTGGTGTTGTGTGGCTTCTGGTTGGGGGAAGTGGGGGTTGTCTGTAGGAGGTAAGTGGCCTGTTTACCAAGGTCTGTGAGAGCAAGGGATCATTTTTCAGGATTGGCTGTAGATTGTCAATGACGTATTTCAGGGGTTTTAGCTGGCGGATGCAGGTGATAACCAGTGGGGTTCTGCTATTCACCTTATTGGTCCTGTCCTGAAGCAGGTGACTTCTGGGCATTCATCTGGCTCTGTCAACATGTTTTTTCACTTCCCCAGGTGAGTATTTAACTTTTAAGAAAGCTTGATAAAGATCCTGTGCGTGTTTGTCTCTCCCCGAGGGATTGGAGACACAGCTACGGTTGTATTTTAGGGCTTAGTTGTAAAGAATGGATCATGTAATTTGTCCTGGATAGAAGCTAGAGCCATGTAGGTAAGAATAGCAGTCAGCAGATTTCTGGTATAGGACGGTGATTAACAACCATCATTTATTTGAACTGTAGTGTCCAGGAAGTGGCTCTCTCATGTGGATTGTTCCAGGTTGAGGTTGATAGTGGGGTGGAAATTGTTGAAATCCTGGTGGAATTATTCAAAGGCCTCTTTCCATATGATGAAGATGTCATCAATGTAGCATAAGAGGCGAAAGAGTGCTGGGGGATGGGAGCTGAGGAAACATTCTTCTAGGTCATCCATTAACATATTAGCATATTGTGGGGCTACATGGGTACCCATAGCAGTGCCGCTGACTTGAAAGTATAAATTTTCCCCAAATAAAAAACGGTGGTGGTGGAGAACAAAGTCACATCGCTCTGCCAACAGGTGTGCTATGGCATCATTGATACTGTTCCTGAAGCTTGTAGTCCATTCATAGAATCATAGAACCACAGAGCTGGAAGAGACCTTAGAAGGCCATCAAGTCCAGCCCCCTGCCCAAGGCAGGACCAATCCCAATTAAATCAACCCAGCCAGGGCTTTGTCAAGCCGAGACTTAAACACTGCTAGGGATGGAGACTCCACTACTTCCCTAGGTAACCCATTCCAGTGCTTCACCACCCTCCTAGTGAAATAGCTTTTCCTAATATCCAACCTGGACCTCTCCCACCACAACTTCTGTGTGGATAATTGGTATAGAGAGCTTCTACATCAATAGTGGCCAGGATGCTGTTTTCAGGAAGATTACAGATGCACTGTAGTTTCTTTAGGAAGTCAGTGGTCTCTCAGCTAGGAGTGCTAGTAACAAAGAGTCTGAGGAGAGAGACCACATAGCTGGATAACCCTGCCATAAGGGGCTGATGCCTGAGGTGACTGGAGCATCCAGGATTCCAGGTTTATGGAATCTCCTAGTCAGGGGTCTAGGGATGTGTCTAAGTAAATTTGGTCCTGTGCTACTGCAGGGAGTTTCTTGCGCAGATGGTGTAGTTTCTTTTGGTATTCCTCAGTGGGATCAGAGGAAAGTGGCCTGTAGAATGTGGTGTTGGAGAGTTTCCTGACATTCTCAGATTACAAACAGGAGGCTAAGAGAAGTTATCCACCTAATTCAACCCGGAACATCTAGAAAAAGTCTCTGGGTATGTCTACACTACCACCCTAATTCGAACTAGGGTGGTTAATGTAGTCAATCGAAGTTGCAAATGAAGCCTGGGATTTAAATATCCCGGGCTTCATTTGCATCTTGCCAGGCGCCGCCATTTTTATATCCCAGGTAGTTCAGATTCCGTGCCCGCGGCTACACGCGGCACGGAGTAGGTAGTTCGAATTAGGCTTTCTAATTCAAACTACCGTTACACCTCGTTGTACGAGGATGACCTCGTTCCACGAGGAGTAACGGTAGTTCGAATTAGAAAGCCTAATTCGAACTACCTACTCGTGCCGCGTGTAGTCGCGGGCACGGAGTCCGAACTACTGGGGATTTAAAAATGGCGGCTCCCGGCAAGATGCAAATGAAGCCTGGGATATTTAAATCGATTGACTACATTAACCACCCTAGTTCGAACTAGGGTGGTAGTGTAGACATACCCTCTGTGTTTACTCATGTTGTCTTTTAGATTTATTGCACAGGAAAAGAATCATTACCTTTTGTACTGATTCACTTGACACGTGAGTTTCCATGCTCATTTCATCAACTGCACTCTGGAGCTGGGCTTAGAAATGAAGTTATTTCTATATCCTCTCATGAGAGGGTAGATTATATGCAAGTCCCATATAGAGGCATCTGAGAACTTCCATAATGAACTGATATGTATTTCTTGCTATCTGTGCTATTTTGTAGACTGTAAATACTATATTTTATAATTCATTGTTTCAGGAGCACCCACATTGCAGTTAACTGTTTTTGTATGCATATTTTACGGGACACCCCACTAACCTTTTTTACCTAGAGTTAGTCAATTGCCAGTTATTTTGATTTACTTTTATTTATTTATTTATTTTGTGTAGGCTAATGCAAATGCTCCCCACATGATAGTGTTCTGAAATATCATCAGTTTTCCCCACATGAGTATGATTAGGTGTTATTTATACATATTTGGGTAGGGCATGGTTCCTGTTCCAAAGAATTTGCAACCTAAGTCCCTGATCCGGTATCACTTACACATATGCTTAATTTTATGCTCATGTAGTAAAAGGGACTACCCACATGCAAAATTTTAAGCATAAATATAATTGCGTACACAGCCATGGGCTATACTGAATCTAAATTAAACAGAAACAACATTACACTGTTTATGTTTTTAAAAAATCAACAACGTTGGGACAGGAACATTTTGTGTATTTTCCCTTATCTAAGGAATTCTTCATGGTATATATACCTACCTCAGGAGTCGGAGCTCTGCAAGGAGAGTGGGGTTCTGTTGTGCCTTCTCTGGCGTGGGCTGAGATGCCTGCTCATGTTCAAGCCGCAGCCTCTGAATCTCCTGTAAAATTTCTCTTGGGGGAGGATAGTAAGTAAAAGACTAAAGGTCAGTGTATTCCCATAGAACCAGCCTAGAACCCCACTATTACAAAAAGAAGAACTGTCTGTAGCTCTGAAACAATAAGGATATCATGTCTAGGCTCCAAACAATAGAACATTTCAGCTTTAGTGAAACAGTCATCACTGGAATACATTTGCTGATGTTTGCTATAGCCCTCTGCAAGGCATTTCTGCAAGACCTGCATAAAAGAGACCATAAAACTAGAGCTAAATTTAAGATGCTTTCTGTGGAAAGCAGAGACAAAGATCCTGTTTGGCCCAATTAATGAATTCCTCACCTTCCTTCTTGCAAGTGAATATTCTATGTGCCACATGGAATTAAGAGAAACTAGAATAATATCTAGTTAACAAGATTGTTGTGAGCAAGACACGAGAAGTCATTCTTCCGCTCTACTCTGTGCTGATTAGGCCTCAGTTGGAGTATTGTGTCGAGATCTGGGCACCACATTTCAAGAAAGATGTGGAGAAATTTGAGAAGGTTCAGAGAAGAGCAACAAGAATGATTAAAGGTCTAGAGAACATGACCTATGAAGGAAAACTGAAAGAATTGGGTTTGTTTAGTTTGGAAAAGAGAAGATTGAGAGGGGACATGATAGCGGTTTTCAGGTAACTAAAACGGTGTCACAAGGAGGAGGGAGAAAACTTGTTCTTCCTGGCCTCTGAGAATAGGACAAGAAGCAATGGGCTTAAACTGCAGCAAGGGAGGTTTAGGTTGGACATTAGGAAAAAGTTCCTAACTGTCAGGGTGGCTAAACACTGGAATAAATTGCCTAAGGTGGTTGTGGAATCTCCATCTCTGGAGATATTTAAGAGTTGGTTAGATAAATGTCTATCAGGGATGGTCTAGACCAGTTTTCTCAACCTTTTTTTGCTCATGGCCCCCTTCTGAGTCTCGTTCACCTCTGTGGCCCCCCTCATAGCTGCTGTTAGTTGGAAAAAAAGGTATATAATTTACCTAATGTTCCGTTTTTTCCATGTGGCGCCATAGAGGTAGGACGTGGCCCCTGGGGAGCCATATGGCCTCTGGTTGAGAACCACTGTTCTAGACAGTACTGGGTCCTGCCATGAGGGCAGGGAACTGGACTCGATGACCTCTCGAGGTCCCTTCCAGTCCTAGTATTCTATGATTCTATGATCTGTCCTGTCTTCTACATCAATCAGGCACATGCCATTTGTACTTTTAAAAATGTTTTTAATTTAACCGTGGATCTGAGAGAGAGGAGCTCTTCTGGGGAAAATACATTTAATAGGATTTACTGTAAATGAATCTGTGCATAAGAGTGCTCACAGATCAAGGCTGCACAGCTTTGTTAAAGTAGAATGAAGGTTATTGATGTTAGTGAAAGACTCTTTCTTCATTACACTTTGGTAGGCATGAGACACTAAAAAGCAGATTTGAACACCACAAAGCAAACTAACACTAGAGCTGGTAGAATTATTTTACAGTGACAGAAGGCATCACAAAAGTCTGGGCTATAAATGCATCTGGTTTTGGTCACTCCTCATCTGTCTACCAGTACAAGCAGAGAACACAGAACTTAGCTCTGTATGACAACATTAGTTACCATTCAGTGATCTTGAGTCTGACACACAAGGCCAGATTCTCAGCTGGTGTAAATCAGTGTAGCTCCGCTAAAAGAAGTGACATTAGTCTGATTTACTCCAGTTGGGCATCTGGCCCCTAATTCCAAAGACTTCCCATTGCCTGTTTCTCAATTTCAGCTATTTGTGTATCAAAGGCCTAATTTTCTGATAGTCTTTTTACAATCACTGTTTCTTATATTTATCACACACAGATTGCGTTCTAGAGAGCTTGAATATTCTTCTCTATAAATATAAAGAGGGCACCAAAGATGTTTTTGAGTTTGGAATCATAATGGGATTTTTATTTTTAATCCTCTGCAAGGATTTTTGAAAACACAGGCTGATTCTGTAATGCCTTAAAAGTGGCTTGCCACAATTTTGCCACACGTACATTGATATTGGCTATCTAGGCAACCTGTTTCCTGTCTTGATAACTAGATCCAGATCTAAAGAGAGCATGTACACAAAAACAAGTGAGAAGAAATGTTAAAAACAAACAGACGTAAATTGCATGGTTCTAAACAAAGGCAGGCATTTTCTAGAGACTTACCGGTTCTTGTTTTCAAGTTCTGCAATCAGCTGCCTTTGTTGCTTATTTGCATCAATGGTGAAAGAGATATCTGAGGCACCTCTCTGCTGACCCTGCTGCTGTTGCTGCTGCTGTTGCTGCTGTGGTAAAAAAGTTTGGGTTCATTATTAAAAATCTCCATGCACTCATCTACACCTAAAAGTATGCTCAACAGTATCCACAAAAGTATATCTTAAGATGGCAAGGCATCCTGGAATCTCAATGCTATTGATGACCTGGGCTCTCTACGCTAAAATAAAATTAAACAAAAATCTATATTACAGCATATTCCACTATTAGTGCAACTGACAATGTAGCAACAACAGAGTAAGCACTAAGCTAGATAATGCTTGAATGTTTACCACCAAGTCATTGTAACTCCTCCAAGGAATTTTCCAGGGAACGCTGATAAAAATTCCTGACCTCATCTTTAGCAGGGGCTTAGCACTGATGAAGCTGCACTGTTAGTGGTAGCTTCTGTAATATGTTTCCTAATGATTATGCTGTAGAGAAAGCCATTGAGACTTGCCACATGAGAAAAAAGGAATTTCCACTCAAACAAAAAACAAGAAAACATTCATCCCACTTCACCGTGTTTAGAAAAGTCACTTGTCCCAAGAAAGCACAGCAAATTTCTCCATGGTAAATCCTCTTTCATCATCCACGTTTTATTCAGGATGTAGTTCAGTGCATCGTCTCTATGACTGAATCTCTGATATACCTATTGACACTTTCAGCAAAGCTGTTCCACAGCATTTAATTGTCAACCGATCCATTTTCTAATTAGTGGATTTCACACCAATCTCATTACAACTTTATTGGGGTACTGCCTTTGCACATTTGTCATCAATAACCAAAAGTTACTATGTTCTTAAAAATATTTTATACATCCTGATGCAGTGCAGGGATGAATTCAGCCATTAAAAGTATTCTAAGACATCTAAATTATTATTTTGTCCTCCAGGGTGTACAGATAAGGATTTTGCAAGTGACAATCTAATTGAGTACCCTCAACTACTGCAAATGGGACTGTCTCACTTTAAGGATGATCTGAAGTGGAAGTTTTACAAATGGGACCTGATCTTCTCATAGAATCTAAAGGACTGGAAGGGACCTCGATAGGTCATCTAGTCCAGTCCACTGCATTCATGGAAGGATTAAGCATTATCTACAGTGCTTTGCAGCCTCTAGCATTAGCCCTCAAAAAGAAATATATTCCTCTCCTTGCTAGACTCTGTTTTTATACAACACATAGGGGAAACACATTTCTGGTTTTAGTTACAGAATTTGTGATTGCCACATCTGTTCTGAGAGCTCCACTTCACAGAAGGCCTTTCTTCACTTTCTCCTTTGAACTGTCTATTTAAAAGACATAGAAAAAGGTGGGATATTGATGGGAAGGAGAAAGCTTAGCATATCCATCCAAACCATATCTGTTTCTTGTTTATTTAAATACTCTTTCTCCATACAGATTCATGACACTAAGATGCCCTGATGGTAGGTGCTGTATAGAAAATGCAAAGAGATAGATACAGACAGTATTTCAGTCTTCAGTAATAGAGTTTTCCAACCCATGCACATCATTAGCAGGGCATTTTGGTTAGATAAAAAATTATTATTCTTCAGTGATAAGATGAATCAGCTACAGATGAAAGGTTCCCTTGAATTTGAGTGGAGCTGCATTCTGAATCTGACAGTGACCGATTTATCAGGCAACTGATACTGAAATGATCTGATTGTGTGTGCATTCCTCCCTGCTGTTCCTGCTCCTTGGACATTGTGAAGTCTTAAATAAGATAGATGGCTAAATACCATGGGCCAAATTCATCTCCACAGTAGCTCTACTGCTTTCCCCTGATTTGAATTTGGCTCACGGTTTTAACATGAACAAACTTGCCTTATTTGGCTATCAGCTGACTTCACTGTGTACATCAAGAGTGAAAATATGCTTCCTGACATCCTGTCCAGAGCTTCTGTTCACCTAACTTTCATTTATGCTTCTTTGTTCTATCAAATCTGCTGAGATGGATATAAAGGAAACTCGGCTGAACTTATTTATGCCATTTAAGGGTGAGTCTACACTCTAGGGCATAATTTGACATAAGCTACACAAATTGAGCTATGTCAATTGCGTAGCTTATTTCAAAATACCTTATTTTGAAATAGGGAGCGTCTACACAGCCCATATTTTGAAACAGAGTGCACTTCCTCCAACTTCCCTAACTCCTCATACAGTGAGGGTTACAGGAGTCGGAGTAAGAAGTCCTCCAGCTTGACAGTATTTTGACACTATTTTGAAATAACTGCCTGCTGTGTAGACACGGATTAAGTTATTTTGGAATAGTGCTAGATATTTCAAAATAGTGTTTCAGTATAGACATAACCTAGGATTGTATACACTTCCGATAGGTTTCTCTTTTAGTCTGAATAGAGTAAGCTTTCACAAGTCATCCCATTTTATTCTGAGATTTACAGTAGCATAGTTATTGTTCTGACGAGGGAGGGCAGATGTGCAGCTGGCTACCATCCTCCCAGGTCAGTGCCTCTGGCTGGGGGAAGAAGTGACCAAGGCTAACGCAAGGGTCATTAAAATCACCCTATCCAAGATCATTAATTAAAATATTCCGCACATAAGTCTCTGGTGGCTATGGTATTTGAGCTAAGAAATGAAACAGATTCACCCCCTTCTTTTTACCTTTAAATTGTTAACCTTTGTTAACAATCTATCTTCCAATCCACTTTGAGTTCAGATGTCCCAAGCGATCTTCCTGTTTTTGGATTTGGAGATGGTAGAATAATGGTGGGTGAGGGCAGCGGTTTCCTTAGTTTGAATTGTTTAAACATCACAAGGTTAATGTATACACTCATCACTAAGCTAGCTGCAAGAAAGCATTTGTGTTCTTTATTACATAACAATATCCCCCAATAAAATTATCTGTGAACCATCAAGGTTGCCAGATGTAAATTTTCTGATGGTGACAAGTCCTTGTACTTCAGAAACAAGAACAATCAGAAACCTTTACTTTCCCCAATTAAAACCACTTACTGATGCAGACGTCTCTGCTGCCAGTCTCGCTGCATACCTGGCGATCAGCCTGTGCTCTTCATCTAGACGGCTCGCACTGTCAAGCATGCTGCTCAGATTTGGGGTGGGGGAAAAAGGAGAGAGGCATCAGTATACAGAAGGCACAGTTGTCACTTTGTTATAGTGTCCATTATTTCCCATTGCACAATTTACAAGAAAATACCCAGAACTATGTTAAAACAAACAATGACAATGAAGACTGCTCTTAATTAATAACCTATGGTGCTTTGAACATACTGATGAGGTGAGAGAATTCAATTCACCTTGCGTTATGTCGGCCATACATAGCCCTGACTCCTCCTTGCAGAAATTCTGAGTGAAGTGAGCCATAGTGGCATAAAGGACTCATCTGACTGCATTGAGAGGGAGGGCAGATATTCAGCTGGCTAGCATGCTCCCAGGACAGTGCCTCTGGCTGGGGGAAGAAGTGGCCAAGTCCCCTAGGGCAATTTCTCTGGCATGACTTCTACAGAGGGGTGGATCCTTCCTAGAGTCCTGTAGCCTTTGTCGATGCAGAAGGGTGAAATTAGTAGACTGCAGTAAAATTCAGGGTCTCTGATCAGTGTGTGATTTTTCTATATTAACTTTTGTTGAATCATCTAGAAACAATAGTAGGTTTCAGCCTCTTCTCTGAGTTTCTGATACTTGGAGGTAAATTGTCAGATCATCATGTAGGGACAAGCAATTGCCCCGCAACATCTATTGATTTTAAAATTAATAAAATCATCTACCTCTTAAGACTACATTAGCCATTACATTTTCTAAAAGAGTATACTTTTAAAGGTCCGTCATTCAGAATATTAACAAAGATCTGTTGTTAGGTTAAAATATATTAAAAAACCTTACTGCTTATATGCTAGAATCACTTTAAAATATCTCATCTGTTTATACTTCTTATTCCAGAAATATCAAAGGCAAATCAGATCATTCACCTATAGTTAAATTAGTGCAAAATTACAAAAATGAAAACCTTTGAATTTTCTAAATAGTTACAACTTTAAAGAGAGTCAAGCAGACCAAAACCAGTTAAAAGAATGCTGAAAATAAAGACTTGAACCTAAATAATACCTTCAAAAGCCAAGTTTTAGCTCACATACTGTTGTTTTTAATTATATACAAGAGAAAAGAAATAACTCATAATAAAAAGTATTATATATGAGTGTTCAGCTTTGGGATGCATTAGAAATTGTAATGCTTCTTACAAGTATATCCCACAGTAACTCAAGGAACCACAAGGTGAATCTTTTAGTTGGGGGTCTAATGCTTGAAGGATTCTACTGCGAGTTAGAAGTAAAGCTTGAAGTATGTATGGGTAGTGTCTTGGATTCATTTGTTGGCAACTTGGAAAAATTATGTTTAATTTATTGTATATACAAAAGATTTATTTCTCATCTCACACCATTGGTTGCAATGTACTCCTGATTTACACTTTTGTGAAAAAAGAGCCAAGCTCAATGTAATTTTCCCTTTTTATTGATTGTGCAAGTGAATACATTCCCAATTTATAATCAACTGTGTTTCTTCCACACACTTAATCCACAATACTACTATATTACTCAAGCAAACAAACAAACAATAAAATCCCTCCAGGTGAATAACTCTCAAACCCAAAAAATTACACAAACCACAATAAGGAATAATTTAGTGATAACATAGTTCATTTTCAGCATTTTCCACGAAGACATTTTATAACAACTGTGACAAAAGTAGGTATTCCAGACTCAATTGTCATTTATTTGTGAGGCAATTTACAACCATATTATAAACCCTGAAAAAAATCACAGATGATGATATGGATTTACAAAGTAGCAAATGTCTGAAGTCCAGCTAAAAGGATTAATTAAAATAGCAATTTTACAAATGAATAAAGTCACTTAAAATTTCTGGTTTTTACAGTTTATCTCATTTTATAAGCAATGTCTTAGCAAGGGTGAATGAGGTATCCCTTTGAGAAAGCTCAAGATTTCATTACTTATAATGTAAAGTGTTTATATGAATAGCTGATGAGCCTCAAATATTTGGCTTCAGGAATGCTGAAGAAATCCAAGGTGTGAGCAGGTAAGGGAGGTATAGTGGGGGGGGACCCACTCTTTAGTATCTGCCCAGGGTCCCAGCGAGCCTAACACTGGCCCTGTGCACAACACTTTCAAAAGACAAGCCTGGGAACTTAAATTCATAACTTTGCTCAACACAAAGCCATCGACTCAACAGAGACACTGGATTTATGGTTTATTACAACAATCATAAGCCACTACCAACTACCTCTCTTCCTTTCCCCCTTACAACTAGAGGTATGTCAACAGGACAATAATGAATGTGTTTCCAGCCATTCAGTTAACTAAATTGCTTGTGAGGGTTAAAACCATGAACAGTGGGTCCTAGAAAGTCTCCAGAAATGCTAGGGAAGCAGGAAATGAGTTGACAGGAAGCTAGAAGAGCCAATGAAAACAGAGTGTGGTTTTTGAATTGGAAGAAGTGATGTTCCTGTTCCAGTCTGTGTGTGATCAGAAGAGAGTTGGGAGATATGAATTGAGCCATGGAACTGCCCATGGAGGATCCATCTACATCCATTCCTAAGAATGGACTAAACCTTGGAACAATGGATATGTGAGTAGAACAGGGTAGGGATGTGAACAATAAGCAAATGCTTCTCATATAGTCGACAGGCTAGTCGACTAGTCGTTTCCCCTTTCCTTACTGTCTCCAACAGAAAGAGGCAGCAAGGGTGGGGAAAAAAAGGAAGGTGCTTCAGAGCGGCAGCGTCATGTGGCACCTGGGGCTCCAGGCTTCACGCAGTGCTGCCGCTTTGAAATGCTGTGTGCGACCTGGGCTGAATGGGGGAGTCCCAGCTGACCGGGACCCCAGGCTCCACACTGCACTGCTGCTTTGAAAAGTGCATTAAGCCTCCCCATGGTGTTTCAAAGAGGCATTTGAGGTAATGGCTCAAATTATCTATGTCTCAGAAGGTTTATTATCTGTGAAAGCAAATCTCTCTTAATTCAGTTAAATGAGACTACCCCGATCTCAATATCTTCAGCCTAGAGATGGGCACTGAAGTATATGCTGCTCTATGAACAATGTGGGGCTTCCTGCTATAAATTCAATCACAATTGTGCAGTAGCTTCAAGGGAAATAGGCATTGGCTTGCCCCCAAAGCCCAAGAAAGTCAATAATTAGAGGGTTATATAGGCTTCTCATTATGTGATTGACATTGTCATTATTGGTTACAAATGCCCCCAAAATGCCAAACCACCCAGGCTTGCAATAGCACTATTAAAGAAGGGCTTTATGACGTACTCGTATTCTACAGAACCTAAGCCTTTATTTCAATCAATCAATCAATCAATCAAACAAACAAACAAACAAACAAACAAACAAACAAACAAACGCAGCAAGTTTCTAGCCATCACATCTGTAGGGATATTCTTCCAAATGTGAATGAACTAAATACCTAATTCTGAAATCAAATGCACAATCTAAGCAGTTGAAGACACTGTAAAATGGGAGTTGTCTTCTGATTTTTGTAAAGGTTTGTAATATTTTTTAAAATTTAAATAATCACAATTTTATTATCTGAACACTGATGAGAGTACTGTGTATACATAGTATCTTTCAAATAAGGCTAAGCTTTTGTTACAGATATGCTTAGTAAAAGTCAAGGTAGGTCATGATGGGCAATAAGGAAAATTTCACCAAGTCTATTACCTGCCACTGATTTTTATTAAAAACATCCATGACATAATGGGAGAAGAGTGGTAGATGGGCAGCTTCAGTGGCTGGAAATTCCAGGGCCCCAACCAACTGTGGGGGTTCAGAAGTCCAGGGTCTACTTCTGCCTGCAGCTGGGAGCTGTAGGAGGACCTGGCCAGTAGTTGCAGGGTCTCCCTACAGTCGCTCAGAGCCTCCCCTCTGCCTGCAGGGGCCAGGAACAGTGGTGGTGGTGGGGGGGTCTCCCTGCCACCTATTAAGCCTGGAAGCCAGGGGGTCCCTCCCACACCTATTGCAGCAAGGGGAAAATGAGGTTCCCCAGTCCACAGTGGTTGGGGGCTGCATTGGGATCCTGCTGTGGCAGTGGGACCCTGTGGCTATCTGGGGGTTGATGTCATGGAGGTCTTTGGAAGTCCTGGATTCCATGACTTCTGTAACCTCCTTGACCAAACCATAGCTTTACTCAGTGTTCCCTCTATTCTTTTCCATCCATGTGCAGATTTCTTCCATCCACGTAATGAACATTATTTTATGTGCACTGAGGTAAGTGTGAACGTGCACCACCGGTACAAACAAACAAATAAACAAACAAACAAATCTAGTTATGGGTGCTCTGCTAATCAGCTGGGAAGCATCTGAATCTCTCCTGAGTGGCCATACAAGTGCACAGCTTATAGGGAACACTGGCCTTAGTTATAAATAATGAGGACTATATTTAACACTCTTAAGTTTGCAACAGCACAGAAATATGAATCCAAGTAGTTCTGTACAGTATATCCAGGTGTCTTTAAAAACCAGGAGAAACTACTTTCTATCAAATGAAGATCCCCTCCTATTTACATTTTACATTTTTGCTTAAATTAGTACAACAATATGTTATGTCTAACTTATATGAATAAATCCTAGATATTTCAGAGTTAAAGGGGAATTTATAAATGTTGATGTGATTTAAGAACAAAGGTTTTCATAGAATCATAGAACACTAGAATTGAAAGGGACCTCAAGAGGTCATCAAGTTCAGTCCCCTGCCCTCACAGCAGGACCCAGTACCATCTAGTTCATCCATGATAGATGTCTATCTAACCTGCTCTTAAATATCTCCAGAGATGGAGATTCTACAACCCCTCCAGGCAATTTATTCCAGTGTTTAACCACCCTGACAGTTAGGAAGTTTTTCCTAATGTTCAGCCTAAACCTCCCTTGCTGAAGTTTAAGCCCTTTGCTTCTTGTCCTATCCTCAGAAGGAGAACAATTTGTCTCCCTCCTCCCTGTGACACCCTTTTAGATATCTGAAGACCTCTATCATGCCCCCTCTCAGTGTTCTCCTTTCTAACTAAGCAA